AACGGTGTCAGCCAGAGCGCTGGATTTTCGGATTTTGCAGGATCCTACAGGGCCAGGGTCGCACTGACCCGGGTGTGGGTGCAGGATCCTGCAGGATCTTGCAGGATCTTTCGCATTGATCGGGGTTTGGGTGCAGGATCTCGCAGGAGTTTGCAGGATTCTGCAAGTCCTGGCTGACGCGGGTCTGGATCGACCCTGGTCAGAAGATCTCCGAATGATGTTGGACGATCGGACGTTTCGGAAACGGCCGATCGTTCAAGGTGGAGCGATCCCCGCGGGTTCGGAAGCCAGCGACCGAAGTCGTCACGACGCGGACCTGCCGTACCCTGAGCTCCTCTGCGAGATGTATTGTGGTGAGGCCTCGGAGTACGCGCAGATGCCCAACCCAGGTAGTCTCAAGTCGGGCGTGTCCCTCTGCAGGTGGAGTATTCGAAAATAGTCCAGACATAGTCTGGGGGGGCGATTTTTGGACTATGTTTGAATACTTGTTGACTGTTTCGTTTGGATCGGTTTTGATTAGTTTTTCCTCCAAAAGCTGCAGGGGGACGTGCCCGACCTACAAAAGTAGTTTTTTTTGTTTGTTTGAATTTTTTTGGGGGCATTTATAGCTTGTCCTCCAAAAGCCGCCTGCAGGGGGACGGTGCCCGACCCAAAAAGGTAGGCCGGGCTGGCCCCGGCAGGCCGCCCGAGGGGCCCCCGGCGGGCCCGGCCTCGGCGGGCCGCCCGCCCCCCCCCCCGCGTGGCCCCCGGCGGGCCTCGGCGGGCCCCCCCCCCCTTCGGGACATCGGGGGCCCTGTCTTGGCACCCTGGCCTCACATCGGGCCCTGTCCCTCCTACAGGAGGAAGATTCAAGAACAGGCGAAAAACAACAGGGGGGGGGGGCTCTTTTTCCACATGTTTTTGTTTTGTTGACTAGTTTGGGAGTCTTTTTGGGGTACTGCTGATTTTTCGCCCCAAATCCCCCTGTAGGGGGGCACGCCCGACTCAACCCTGGCCCTGGGCTTCTGATTTTCCAACCTGCTTTAGATTTGTCTGGGGTGGACAGAACCCCCACCCCGACACGTCGATTGGTGAATTGTCCGTTTTCGGTTCTCGAGAGAGCGGCCGCGGCCTTTATTTCCCAGGCTTGCGCCCGCCAGGTTTGGGCCCGAGGTCGTTTTCACTAAGCCACGTTTTACTAAAGGGAGGTCTGTCCATCCCCGATTTGAACAGGAAAAATTTCGAGTACCAAAAAAGTACCGAAACTAGAGGGTTTTCACGTGTCGGGCCCTGGGAGACACAGACACTCGTCCGACATTGTTTCGATACTGTTTCGGCACTCTTTCGACACTGTTTTGGGTGCTCGGAATCATTTCTGGGATGTAGTCCTTAAGTACGAGGGGAGCAACATAACCCTAGGCTTCGGGGCTCCCGTTCAGGATCTTGCAGGATCCTGCAGGATCTTGCAGAATCCGTCAGGATCTTGCAGGATCTTGCAACGCCAGATTGGCCCGGATTTGGATTGACCCGTCCCCGAGGACTGCGGATCTTTTAGTTTTTTAGTATTATCAGATTGTAGTTTTGTTTGTTGTTCGGCCTTCGGGGGCTTTCGCCAGGCCATGGTGTCGTCTACAAAACGACCCCGGATGAGGAACCGGTCCTGCAGGGGACGGGATCCAGAATTCGGACGACGACGACGCCGCCGCTGCCGCCGACGACGACGACGACTACGACGCCCACGGCCACGGCGACGGCGACGGCGACGAAGACGGCGACAGTGACTGCGACGGCGCCTGTGCGACGACGACGACAACGACGGCGACGACGAGGACGAGGACGAGGACGAGGACGACGACGACGACGACGCCGACGACGACGACGACGCCGACGACGACGACGACGACGCCCACGGCCACGGCGACGGCGACGGCGACGGAGACGGCGAGAGTGACGGCGACGGTGCCGGCGCGGCGAAGAAGACGACGACGACGACGGCGACGACGACGACGAGTCGGCGTCACCCCAGGGGGGTCGCCACCCCAGGGGGGTCGCCCCCCCAGGGGCGACGCGCGCACCGAGAAATCTGATAGAATACGAGTCGTGGTGGGCGCTTTCCGGCCACACCGATCGGGAAATGATATACATACTACTATATTTATATACTATATGTTCGGGTCGGACGCGCGCCTCCAAGGAGAACATATAGTATTAGTATGTCTCTGTGCGTCCCAACGACGACGACGACGGCGACGACGACGACGGTGACCATGGCGACGACCACGGCGACGGCGACGGCGACGGCGACGGCGACGGCGACGGCGACGGCAACGGCGACGGCGAGCACGACGACGACCAAGACCACGACCACGACGACCACGACCACGACGACGACGTCGACGGCGACGGGGGGTCGACGTTATATGGAAGAAGCACGGCGTCCGAGCCCTGGGCAGCTCCCCGACGCCGAGGACGGCATCACCTCGACACTCGACCCTCGATCCTCCGTCCTTGGTCACCGAATGCCCAGACCCCCGACATCGTTTTTTTATATGTATTTTTTGGTTCCTCCTTTTTTTCCAAATGTAGACCCCCAGAGGTCTGGACCCTTTCCCCTGGGGCTGGCTTTTCCTCCCGAGCAGTTTTTACGGCCCCGAGGCCCGGCAGGGGCCCCGGGAGGCCGACAATAGCGAAACACCTCCCGTCGTGGTCTTTTCACTGCGTGAGGGGGTCTGGGGAGGAGGAGGAGGAGGAGGAGGAGGAGGAGGAGGAGGAGGAGGAGGAGGAGGAGGAGGAGGAGGAGGAGCGATGACCGAGGAGCGAGGAGCGAGGCGCGAGCAGCGAAGAGCGAGGCGCGAGCAGCGAGGAGCGAGGAGCGAGGAGCGAGGAGCGAGGAGCGAGGACTGCTCCGCAGCGCCGCGGTGCTCGGCGACGGCCGCTCGCCGCCGCCGCTCTGCCCCCCCCCCCGCGGGCTGCGAGCGGCGCGCCGGCGAGGCCGCGGGCGGCGAGCCGCCCGCGGGCGGCGGGGCGGGCGCGGCAGGCGCCCCGCAGAGCGCAGCCCTCGGCATCGCTCGGACGTGTGCGTTTTTCCTTCGGCGAGGACCATCGCAGGGCTCGTTTCGACACCTCCGATTCGATTCGGTTCGATTTCGATGGCTTCCGATCCCGATTCGATTCGACTTGGGATTCCGATTTGGGTTCCGATTTCTTATTGAAGGCCTACCAGCCTGCCGATTTCCGCCGATTCGACTTTTTCCGACTCGGCTGCCGATTTCCGCCGATCCGATTCATGTCGATCGCCGATCCGACTTATCGATTCGATTCTGCGCTCTCCTGCCATCGAGGAGCATCCTTGATCATTTGGCGAAGAAAACCACGCGCGAAATCGGAAAAGAACACAGGGAATGGACGTCCGAGCGATGGCCAGAGCCTCCTCTCGGCCGCGCATGGGGGGGGGGGCAGGGGGAGGGGGGAACCCAGGCTCAGGCGATCGCAAGCATGGGTTGAGGGGGGCGTGGGTCAGCGACGGGTCCCCCGTTTCCACGGGACATCGTCGCGGACCTCCGCCGCCGAGCGAGGCGGCGCGCCGGCCGCATTTTGTGGGAGGGCACCTCTCCCGATGCATGGATTTGGCGGCCGCGCGCCAAATCCATGGAGCGCTAATCCATGTTTGCGCGCCCCCGACAGACATGCAGCGTCTTGAAAAGATCGAAGCGCGGGCTTTTCACTGTTTTCGGCCTCCTCTTCGGGGCCCTCCGCCAGAGGCCCCGGGGCCGTCCGGAGCGGCTCGGGACGAGAAGCCGCTCCCAGGGAAAGTGGTCGAGGGGGTCAGGGGCCCGGGTCTCCACTGCCCCCAGGGAAGGGACCCAGACCACGGCGCGCGGCGCGCGCGCGCGCGCAGTGTCCCGCCCCTCCCGGCCTCTGGGGGCCCTCGCCGGGCCCCAGCTAGGGGGCCACCTGCGAGCCCTGCCCCTACCCCCCACGATTTCTGAGGGGGGGGTGGGGTTCACTTCGCTCACCGTCGAACCAGACGGCTTGGGGCGGAAAGCTGGCCCCGTGGGGAGGGGGCCCCTGCTGCCAGCGGTCGAGGCTGTGGAGCAAGAGTTGCTGCCGGGCCGAGGGTATGAGGTCGAGGCCGTCCCTCGTGTCTGTCGGATGCTCTTGTGCATCCTGGGGTTATGATCGGGGGTGGACAGAACCCCCAACAGTGACACGTCGATTAGTGAATTGTCCGTTTTCGGTTCTCGAGAGGGCGCCGCGGCCGTTATTTCCCAGGCTTCAGCCCGCCAGGTTTGGGCCTCAGGTCGTTTTCACTAAACCACGTTTTACTAAAGGGGGGTCTGTCCATCCCCGATATAATGTTCCAGCCTACTTCAGCCTGGATCGCCAGAAAGAAGTTCGAGCGCCCCGAAAATGCCGAGACCTGCGGGTTTTCACGCGTCGGGCCCCGGGAGACATTCGTCCGACACTGTTCTGACACTGTTTCGACACTCTTTCGACACTTTTTCCGGGTGCTCGAAATTATTTCTGGGATGTGGTCTTTCAGTACGATGGGAGCAACACAATCCCGGGGGGAGTACCCTCGTGTGTTCTTCAGTTTGGCTGGCGGTGGGCTTCACGTTCTCTCAGGATGTTCGTCTGTCCTAGGTCCTCGGCGCCGCTCGGACGCGTGCATTTGCCCTCGGCGGGCGCCATCGAGGAGCGTCCGCGATCATCCCCGCGAAAAATACACACGCGAGACCGAAAAGTGCACGGGGACCGGACGTCCGAGGGATGGCAAGGGTCTGGCCGTACGGCGTCGGAGATCAATGAGCCACGCGCAGAGGGAGGGGGGTGGGGATCGGGAGCGGAAAAGAGGGGGGTGATGACTAGGGGGGGGTGGATTTCATGGCGCGGGCCATGATTTTTCCTCAGATTTCATGGCGCCTCTTCTTATTTCATTACGTCCCAGGCCCCCCCGCTGGGTCGCGCACATGCCGCCGGTCATGATTTGCGCCCCCCCCTCTTGGACACCCCCCTCTTGG